CAGGATGATGGCTGAACGTCTTTAGGCCAGATTCTATGCTGAACCAGATCCACACGAGGGCGAGACTGTTGCCAACGCCCCCGAATGTATTATACTGTCTCTTGGGTGGAGAGAAAAGGTTATGGGTATAGCCCTTCAAGGGCTTTCGAGTCCGGTTGTGGTTATTACCCTAACCACCGCATGCTCCGAACGTTGTATCTAGGGCGCGTTTATGGGGTATGTGGTATGGCTATGAGGACACCTGTAGGGTCTCTACAGGAAGTAGGAGCCATCAAGGACTATATGTCCTAGTATAATGCATCCGAAGCCGGCCCGAGTGGTATGACCAACGGCTTCAGTCTCATCCCGGTGGATCAAGGGAGTTTTTAGGGGATACCCCACTACCTGGTACCTCTCTTTAGTAGAGCGACTTGGTGTCGAACCGTTTGACCGTATGGACACGGGCACTTTGTCCGTGTTGGCGACGGCTCAAATCTGCTACCAGTAGGAGTGGTAGAGAGAGGAATCCGGACGGTACGGCTCACCACCGTACCTGAAGGGGGAACTGTGGTCACGATTTTCTTCCTGGCCTTTGTGCCGAAAAAAAGAAAAAAAAACTAGCAAATATACTATGTGTGGAATAATTGTACTTGGTGAGTACAATAATAATAGCCAAGTTTGTAAACTTGGTAGAATTGGCAAGGAAATAAGACCTTGTTGAGCTTGACTTGGTAAAAAGACATAAGGGGTACAGATAAGTGGGAGCTTCGGCGCCAATGAGAAACCACTGCTCTTATTGCTCTTTAACCATAGTATGGGATTAGGCTTTACAGTAAATGCTGTGAAGCCCCCATTGGTTGGGAAATGGCTAAACAACCATAAGCCAGAGCTGATGCTGGAAACCATACTATATGTGTTGCTCATACACTATATGAGTATAAATATGCTTTTGAGCTGAAAAGCATATTGTGTCTTTGTTCGTATCCGCTGAAAGGCGAGTACCTTCAGAGCTACATAGTAATGCTAGTATGGAGTATTGATATATTACATGCAAGCAGCGTGTAACTGACGGGGTATTGTAAGTGTTCGAGTGACTTTTGTTGCTACGAAGTACTGAGATTAAGCCCTTGTCCTTGAATTTGTTCTTTTGAACACCTTCATAATTAAAATAAATTATTTTTGTATTGAAATAATTTACTTAAGTAAATATTATCACCTGCCATCTGACAGCCGACCCAATAAAAAATTACAATATTGCAAAGTCAGAAAGTGAGTCTATATATTTTATTAACTTAGCTGTAGAAGTATGTGTATATTGATCATATTAAAATTTTTTTAGGTCAATAAATTCAAGAGTATCCTTTCTCCATTTTTTTAAAGGTACTTAATTTGAGACCGGGTCTGAAATCCGAGTTTGTTTGTTCATTGATTTCTTATAATAACACATTTGATTAGATTAATTTCTTAGTCGTCAAAGCTGTTATATGTTATAGACAAACTAACAAACTTGGTATATTCATTTTTTGTTAGCCTTTGTCTTTTAACTAGATACCTTGATTTCAATTTGTATAAGATCAAGCAGTAGCATTATTTACAGCCAAACAAAAACAACTCTTCTTTTAGGAATTATATATATAAACATATACAATTTAATCACAATTAAACAAAAAACAATGCCCAAAGAATTTTAACATATATATATATATATATATAATGTAGTAATCATTACGTTTATTTTTCTATTTATTTATTTTTGTTTGTTCATTCATTCATTACGCACATAAATATTATATAAAGCAATAAGTGGGAAGCGAAATAAATATGAGAGGGTATATATCTATATTTATTTACCAAAGCTAAAATTTAAGAAAAAAATGATGCAAAGAGTTATTGGAAACAAATTGATTTGATGTGTTGGACAGTAGAGCCATTAAGCATATGGAGTTTATAAAGATAAAAAAAAACAGCATGCGATGGAACTGTGGGCAAAGGCAATAAAGTAAATAAATGAAACTTTTCCATAATGTGTATTGTAATATAATACACAAAGCCTTTGAATGTATTAATCAATTGAATACAAATTTCAAAAGTTTTATTTTAAGCAGACATATTAAAGAATATGGTTTTTTGGGAAAATTTAATTTTTACAAGATTTGTTTGAGATATTCAGAATTTTTTACGGGTTAGTATCTCAATAGATATAAAATTGGATACTACGAGAGTGTGTTTTATTTATTTATTAATGACAATCAAAATAGTATTGTTTAAAGCATCTTCAGCAGTCCTCTCTAGATCCAATGTTACTTTAAATTTAAATGTTTAGTTAGAACTGATATTCTCAGCAGCCTGATTTATTTTATTTTTTTAAAAAAAAAGAGGGAACCTTTAGCAGTCTGCTAACTTTTATTTTATATAAAATCAAACACTGTCACTTTTGCATAAAAAAAGCACTCCACCCCGCAGTTTAATTTTTCTGTAAGATGTTCTCCAGCATTCTCAGCATATTGCCTAAAAAGTCTAGGGTCGGTTCAATAGAAAAATATAGGAATACCAGATATTATTATGTTGTTAATGAAAAAATAAACAATAATAAATAGCTAATATTCTTGTAAAAGTT